CCCGATTCACACCATGGAGACGCAGGTGGCGTCGGTTGTCTGTTCCGCCTTTTTCCACCTTTGGCGGATAGCCCGGCTGCGGCCCTACCTCGACACGGGGGCCCTCACTACCTTAGTATACGCGCTCGTAATCTCAAGATTAGATCACTGCAACGCGCTCTACGTGGGGCTACCTTTGAGGCTGATACGGAAACTTCAGATGGTGCAGAATGCAGCAGCCAGACTCCTCACTGGAGGGAGAAAACACCATCATATTTCTCCTATCCCGGCTAGACTGCATTGGCTGCCCATCCGTTTCCGTATCGACTTCAAAGTTTTAATGCTCACTTATAAGGCCCTAAACGGTTTGGGACCTCGATACTTGGCGGAACGCCTTCTCCCACCTAGATCTACCCGTGTCACTCGCGCGAGCCAGGAGGTGAGGCTGAGGAGCCTGACCCCGAGGGAGGCCCGGAGGGAAAAGACGCGAAACCGGGCCTTCTCGGCGGTGGCTCCCCGCCTTTGGAACAGTCTCCCTCCTGAGATTTGCGCGGCCCCTACGCTGGGTACATTTAAAATTCAACTAAAAACATGGCTTTATGTCCAGGCCTTCCCTCCTGCCAGCATTTAATCTAATTAAATTTAATTTTCTCTTCCTTATCTATCTTTCATTTATGATTATTGGTATGTTTTGTTAATAACCGATGTTTAGGTTTTACTTTATTATAATTGTATATTTTTTGTTGTTAGCCACTCAGAGTGGTATAAACATACCAGATGAGCGGGATATAAATAAAATAAATAAAATAAATAAAAATAAATAAAATCTGGGGACATAAACCTGAAGACGTACTGGGGGTAATCGTCAAATATTCCTCAACATCCCCTAGCAGTCTCCTGTCTCTCGGAAGCCACCCCTTCTTTCTGGAGCAGGTCTGTCATCCGCTGGATAGCAGGTAATCCAGAATCTGTTCCCCTTACGTTTCTGCCCCCCTGGAACTTTGGGGCTGTACTGGATGTGTCTCCTTGATGGCCTGGACTTGATGATCTGCAGGGCCCCTTCCGGTTCTGCAATTCTAAGATGATGACAACGGTGATCCCTTATTTCCACAGGCTGCAGAAATGTTCCTTCTCTGGAACTTTGGGGCTGTAGTGGATGTGTCTCCTTGATGGCCTGGACTCGATGATCCACAGGGCCCCTTCCAGTTCTCCAATTCTAAGATGATGATAATGACCCCTCATTTCCACAGGCTGCAGAAATGTTCCTTCTGGCGACTGCAGTTCTCAGTTTGCCCAGCCAA